CTGCGAAAGGTCTAGCTTAAGTGCTCTCAACTTAGAAGAAGTATTAAACATATTCAGGATGTATTCCCTTATGTTTCATTTGTCGTTATACCTCATGGTGATGAGACTCTTGAGAAGAGTACTCGTTTCCGCCTTATAGCTTTTGGTAAATCGTTTCTTAATTTCGACAAGGAACTCATTTACAATAGTGATATCATCAGATATCGTACCTCTAAAGATTTCTGGAATGCTTTTCTTTATGATCATTAGACTAAAGCGATTAGACCTATCCCACTTCTCAAATAACTATTTTTCATCTGCAGTGCTTTCTGTCGTAGTAGAATAGGGTTGGTGTATCCTTAATGCCAAGTCTAGATCAATACAGCCCAAATAAATCAATATTGATTCTTTCCAGTGCTGAAAGTTGTCCCCAGATAGTATTAGGACCGAATAGATACAATAAAATTTCATCCTGAAGATAACAATGAGTAAATATACATATATATATAAATATTGCCATGATTGCACATATGAATTTAGTTGCAGATATGCACTAATGTATTGTTATAGTACACATGCATATTTTAATATGAAAATAAATAAATTAATAAAATAAAATAAAAAGGAAAATTGAACTTTCTAATCAAGACTCTCAAACTTCAAATGTCATACACGAATTCCAAGGATAAAAATTATTCATGCACTTGAATTCTAATACTTATTATTATTTCATAAATAACAATCACATTAATTACGAAACAATGGAGGTGTAAATTTATTCTGAAGATGAAAATTTGTGTCGGGTGAAACAAAATTAAATTAATCAAAAGAGGATCAAATCAAATACATAATTAAATTTTGAAATAGGAAGAATTGCAACATCGAGATTTTCCCAAGAACATGAAAACATAATATGATCTCGATTAAACGCTGATTAATCCAAGAAAACATCCAAATAATTCAACATGCTCTCATACTAATTGTTTAATTTAAATGCCCGATTCTTAAAGCGAAAGCGTACCTGAATATGAAGCTATATACTAATCTTGGGTGATTAAGGGTTTGGTCTTCCAAGATCAAAGCGACGACTTCTTTTCTATCATTGTTGAGTGATGAGTAGAAACTGCAGGAGAATTAGTCTCTATACGACGCTCTATCCCAAGGACCTAACCCTAGCCTATTTATAATAGGGCAAACTGTTGCCACACAAAAATGTCATTGATAATGGCTGGCCGATTTTGGAAGATTTTGATCAATTGAATCAAGGCGATTTGGGCCAATGTAACATAATTTTGTTAGCGTCAGGTCCAAACATCTAAATCGGATTGATCAATGGTGAATTAGGATTAGTAACGACCCAAAAGAATGCAAGCCCGACGAAAAATCCGACCCGATTGATGATTTACGATGTTTAGCGTTTGGAATGGAAAAGGGGAATGAGTTAATTAAAATGTTAGTTGGGTTGATGGCCATTAACAAGACATTTAAATATGCAACATGATCTCAAGCAATAATGATAAAGCAATGAAGGTAAATGAAATTTCAAAAACCTTTGAGATGGATCAACTATGGAAGACAATTATGGGGATGTTAATGCAACTTAATGAGAATATTTTGCATAAAACAAGAACAACAATCGTGTGGAAAAAGACCACATCTCAATCCAAGAAATTATCTTTCTTTTCTTTACATTTTCCTTGCATTTGTTTTCTTTTGTTTTTGTATAATAATGTTGAAACGCTGGGTAGAATTGTAATACCCGACTCGAAACGGAATCATCTCATTAGGTGTTTAACGAATTTGATTGTTAACCCCTTGTCGATATGTTCATTTTGATCGGATATAAATTTTTGAGTTTTTATTTTTTGTGGGTGAATTTTATCTCATTGGATAGATTTTATGTATAATTGCAGGGCGGCTTGGAGGAATGAGCGTGATCCCATTTGCTCACTGAACCCGATTCTCGACTCGGTTGGTACTTCACCTTAGGGGATTTACAATAAGGCTTCAGCGACACCCGACGAAGAATATTATAAGCAAGAAACTCTACTGTCACCAGAAATTTCTGTGACCTAATAGACCACCGCCTATGCCCCATGAATTATTCTTCCAACCGTTCCGCTAGTAGCTCTACCCCTCTTATACATCTCTTTAATCGGAATCGAATTCAGAACAGCAACTAAGCAGGTCGACAAGGCTTCCGCATACTTAGCTACATTGAACTACCCAAAATTTGTTTGTGATGCGAAACAAGGCTGAAATAGTCGATTCTTCTATCGCCATTTCCGCAGCCTTGTCGAAAATCTAACTTGAACAATTCAAATCGAACATGAAATTTTTGGGTGTAGGTGATGTGGAGAAATATGATAGGAATTTTACTAGCTAAAATAATATGCTGGAATTAAAAGAAAATGAGGAGAAAATCAGTTTACTTGCGACATAAAATTAAAAATCTCGTATTATTTAACTAGATAAATATATCAAGGAAAAGAAATGGAGAAAAATGAAGTGTATGGAATCTATATTATAGTGTATATGGTGTATTTAATATAGAATTAGATGAGATATTTATAGGGGAAAAAACTTCTACAAGCTTCGCGGTTACAAACGCCCACAAATAATTACATCTAAAAATAACTACTAACTACCTCTAAAATAGCTAATAATTACCTCTAAAAATAGCTATTAATAATTAATTATTAACTTACTAATAACTACCTATTTCAGAAAGATCTAGAATGAAAAAATACACAAAATAGCCAAAAATTGGCTAAAAAGTAATGTAGGATTTTAGTTAAGGGAGCTGGGAGATAGCCTGGGCAATAAATATGCAGCCGCCGCTCATGGATTCTGTGCGGCCGCCGCTCGCTTTTCGCGCCAACCGTCGCTTCGCTCACTTCTATACATGGCATTCTGCACTCATAAATGCAGCCGTCGCTCGCTTTCCGCTTAGTCGCCATCGCTTCCCGGGTAGCCTCCGTCACTTTCCGCGCAGCCTCCGTCGCTTTCCGTACAGCTGCCATCGCTTTCCGCTCGCTCACTTCTGTGCTGCCGACGCTCAGATTCCGTGCCTGCTCAAATATCCGCGTCAGCCGTCGCTCAAATTCCGCGCCAGTCACCGCTCACGGAGTCCGCGCCAGCCGCCATCGCTTTTCACGCGGAATTAATGCTGCTGCTGCATGTATTTTTGCACTGCATGAAGGTAATTTAAATATTTAATAGAGTTTGAAATTTATTAAAATTTACGCAATAAATATTTAATTAAATAAAATAAATTATCTATATAAAAAGATTAATTACTTAATCAGCCAAAATTAAATATTTAAATTATAGTGTTTTCTTAAATATTTAATTTAATTAAAATTAAATATTTAAATAACAAATAATTAATGCCAAAAAAATATAATTCAAGTAACACATTAATTAATTTAATTTATACACCAAAATAATTATAAAATATATTTAAAAATTAATAAATTAATATTTTACACACAAAATACAATAAATACAATTATTAGAATAAATTTATATAAATTATACATCAACTCGACATACATAAATAATTAATTAAATAAAAATAAGCTATAAAATATGCCAAAATCAAGAGCTATCAGCGGTCAAATAATTATTGATAAATTATATTAATCTTGGATTTGGCTAGACTTAGCAGTAGAAATATATATTTTTCACCAAATCTCCTTTTGTTCATGACTTTAAATTTTTAATTTTATGTCAGTTTCACATTTTCTTGTCTATTTATATATTGTAGAAATATATTTTAAATAGATATTTTAATTGATATTATTTAAATTTATTAATTATTATTTAATACTTCTTCCGTCTCAAACACTGTGCAACATATGAGTTCTGCACGGGAATTTAGGTACCTTGTATTAAGTAGAGCAATTTGAGATAATTTGAAAATTATGTGATGTGATCGGAAAGAAAATGTATATTATTTTTATTTGAGTGATGTGATAGGATAAAATGAAATGTATATATATAAATATAATTAATTATTGCTAAATTTAAAAATATTGCAGTGAGTTTAGGACAAATAAAAAAGAAAATATTGCAAAGTGTTTGGGACTGGGAGTAGTATCTAATAGATTAAGTTTCATTATTTAAAATTATTATGTCATTATTATTTGACTTTATCATTATTTATAAAGTCTATAAATAAATTTTGAGTTCATTCATTATTAATAAATATCTCATAAATCTTCTTTACTCACACCCACTCCTCTACCTAGATGAAGATGGTTCGAATAAAGTAGGGTGTGTTTTCTCCGGCCAAAGTTTGAAGGTTTCTACTGTGGAGCTATTGTACGGTGGCCTTTTGGCGGGAATCTCACCCTACCATGACAATTGATAGGTAACATTGCAGTGTTCAAAACACGTGTAGGAAGACCACGGTATTCGAATAAGACCGTGAATAGAGGCAAGAACAAAGTTATGTTCATAACAGGATAATGAATACAGCCGTCTTAACTATCCGGATAGCTGAATCTTCTTTCTGACTCATCAATACAGTTGTGTTCAATATTTGAGATTAAAATTGATTAATTTTAATTTACACTACAAAAAAAATGGCCATTTGTAGCGAAATCTCATCCGCTACAATTTTTTTGTTACAAAAACTATTTTTTGTTCCAGATATTTTCGTAACAAATATTTTTTTCAGTTTGGTCAACATTTTTCTTTTGTTGCGGTATTTTTTTCGTTACAATTACAATACTTTTAATTTTAAATTTCATACTAAATCTAAAATAATCTAAATTAATATATCACATATATAACATATATATCATATATATATATACACATATATAATATTTATATATTAATATGTACAAATTGAAATTAAAAAAAAATATTTATTTAAAAGTGAAACTATTATATACAATAAAAATTAAAATTAAAATTAAAACTAAAACATTTTTAAATAAACCCTAATGGGCCGCCCAGTTCATAGATTCTGTTTTGTTTCTCTGTTCTTCTTCTTCCCTTTTCTTCTTCATCCTCTTCGTTCTTCTTCGTCCTCTTTGTTCTTCTTCGTCTTCGTTCTTCGTTATTCTTCTTCTTTTTCTTTCCTTTTCTTCTTCCCCTTCCCATACGTCCTCCTTCACCTTCCTTTAATTTCTCCGCCCTGCACCCTTGAACGGCGTGTCATCTCCGTCTTCCTCGACCTGTCGATAGCGAGTCGCCGCTGCCTACCAATGTCCTGAAATGCCAGCCCTAGATCTTTCCGTGAGTTTGGATTTATTTATTGTTTTGTCTTATTGTTTGCTGTTGATGTTTATTTAGATGGAAGAAACTTTCAGTAAGATTGGACCAATACGAAGATGCTTTATGGTTACCAAAAAAGGTTGGCTAATCTAGTGCCCACGTTGAATTTGAGGATCACCTTAAACAAGTTTATGATTTTAAATATTGTGGACAACCAAAAGAATAATACTTACATGGGATGAGATTGATTTTAAAATTGCTTGTTTTGAAGTCAAAAAATCATGATTGTTTTATTTCTTGTAGCAAAAACATTTTGTCTAGACTAAGCTTTTATTTTTTGTTGGTCTTTGCTTGTTTTTATATTAGGATCAAGTGAGAATCGAAGGTTTGGCTATGTTCAATTGTAAGTAAAATTTGCTTTTTTAATAATTTTTTTCTGGATTTTGTGAGTGGTACTAGTTTTGATATTGATTCTCAATTGTAAGTGTTGCCATTGAAGATACTAATCGTTCCATTGAGTTGAAGAATTGTTCAGCTGTTGGAGGTACAAAGATTCTAGTTAAAAATGCCATGATGGTGCTCATCTTGAGCAGCTTCGAACAAAAGACAATGAAGGTGTGTTATTTTCAAATTGTTGCATCTTTTATGTGTCTTTCTTAATTGCCTCACCATATAACACATTGGTTGATAGATGAATATTGTGTTCTTTTTTTGTTTCAAATTTAACGTTTACAAGTTTATGATCATTTTGAATTTTTGTCGCTATGTTTGGGATTCTTAATTTTCTTCCATTCAATATCGAGATGCTATCAAACTAGAGAGTAACAATAATAAAGCTTTGTAATTCCAAACAAAAGGTTCTAGTTTTAAGTCTGCATTTGTTATGTGGTAATCTAGAATAGAACACCATTGCTTGTTTTATGATTTTGGTTTGGATTCTTGATTTTCTTCGGTTCAATCTGGATATATTGTTAAACCCGAGAATAACAAGGCTGTTACAGTAGCAGACAAAACTGACAAGGCTTCACAATTCCAAACAAAAGGTTCTAGTTTCAAGTTTGCATATGGTATGTGGTGTTGTCATTTACTGCACACCATTGCTTGTTTTGTTATCAACCTTATTAATATTGAAAATATCATGTGAGGTATAATGATAAAAAATTGGTCGCAGTTTCTAGTATTCGTCCCAAGAAAGTGAAAAGTTCTGAAAACGAGACATTTTCTTTGAATTTTGTTGTTTTATTTTTCTTCTTGTTATGGTTGATGTTAAAATTGTTAAGTTAGATTTGGTCCAAAAGTATCGATAAATAATTTTAATATTTAGGTTATATGAATATATGTCTTGAATAACTTGTTGGTTTGCATGTGTATTTTGGTGTTGATATAGATTAAAGTATGATTATTATTATTTTTTAGTTTGGTTGGTATTCTTGTATTGTTTTTTTGTTGAATTTTAATTAATAGTATATGTTCACGAGTTTATTGGTTACTTATGATGGTTTTCCAACTTTCGTATTTGTTTGATTTTGTAGATCTTAGTTTGATGCATTGTGTTAGCTATTAATTATATAATAGGTTAGTGGATTTTTTCTATGAGTAATGAATAGCTATTAATTATAGAATAGCTATTGTTATTGATTTACTTTTGGATTTGCATTGTGGATGTTTCTATGGTTACGATTGTGAGTTGTGTTGTTACTGCCAAAAATAAAGAACTTATTCTATGATAGTTATATGGTAATGATTGTTAATTTGGTTTATTTTTAATATGATGATTTGAATGCATTTTTCATTACTTTTTTTGGTATTTTTATTATAAGTGTGAGATTATCTTTTTTTTTTGGATGACGTGGGAACCCACAGCCGCTACCCGAAAGTGCGCACTGGGTAAACCCCTAGTTGGTGATAATATTGTGACATATACAGTTAGGTTTTGTAATGAACTATGGATTTCATGACTCATATTCTTCATTTTATTTGTTTATCCTTGCATATGATATGGGTTATGTATATGAGGTTTGTATCTAATTTGGAACAGGAATTTGGCTGAACTTAAGTAATTTTGATTGAAGTTTCGCTCATGAATTTATTTTATTTTATTCCAGATTTAATTTGCTTTTGTTGTTTAGCTCTTTGGAAGTGTGGATTTGTGGTGTAGAATGTTATCGTGTATGAATTAGCTATTATTAACTAAAATTTCACTTTTTAAACATTATTTCTTTGTTATTTTCTCTAAACTCTCTCTATGTCTTGTAATGCATAATGCTATGCCTTTGTTCGTTTGGTATATAGGGAGACATTTCTGCTAAGCAAGCAAGCACTGCCTCGACTGTTTTCTTATGATGTATCAACAAATTCAATTAAAAAGTGATCTTGTATTCCTATCAATTATGCATTGTTATCTACCAACAGATTTATTCTATAATCATTACTGGATTTCTACAAGGATGCAGACATCAATACTGGATAATCCTAGCAGAATTTTTCTTGCAGATTTGATTAGTCACGGCAGTATGGCTATAATTGACACTATTTCAGGTATGAAAATGATCAAAATCACTAGGAAATATTATTTTCATATAGGTAGTAAAGCAAAAGTGTAATCAAGCTTGTGTTTTGACAATTCAGTTGTGGAGATTGACTTTTCTTCATTTGTTGCAGTAGCCATGTCTGAACTTATCGCTAGCTAAAGTCCAACTTATTATTTGTCAAATGGTTTGTACAATAGAAATTGTTCTCTAACCTTATGGATTGCTTGTGTTGATGATTTCATAAGTTTCTTCACATTGAGTGTAATGGGTAATCATTATAATGACCTGTTTTTATATCATGAGCTAGGCCAAGTCACTTGTATTTTATTTTCTTGTTTTCGCCTAACATATGGTTGGAAAATTTTGAAAGGTAGAGAGACAAGGCATTTGCAGCTAGTGATGATATTGTGTCCATCTATAATATGCTGCAAGAAGGTAGAATTATATTTTCCTTGTCTATTATTCAGTATTGCGATTTTGTTTTATAGTTGGATTATTCAGCTAATGAATGTGTCTGAGTGGTTTCTCCTATATGCATTATAGTCAAGGGCTCCAGTTCGGTTGGATGCTACCTTTGGTTAACTATTTTATGCCAACATGATAACAAAAATCTGTTTGTTTGTAATTCACACAAATTCACAGGGAATTTTATTTGAAAGTCAGTGAGTAGGATTTTATAGGGAAGCGATCAGGTATAGCAATTTTGTGGTTGTAGACCCTTAGTAGTTATCACAATTATTTATACTCTTTTTACTGGTGAGTTTCCAGGTCGAACACAAGGATTTTAAGTCATGAATTTCAAGGGTGAAAATCTTGAAGAAAGCGACGAGAATGCATAAAAGGATCCACTTGCAGCGGATCCGAAGTTTAACTACTGAAAACGGTAAATAAAGCAGTAAAAGTGAGATGACCGAAGGCAAGCGAAGCGAAGGCGGGAAGTGAAGTGCCAGTGGTAACCAGATGATCGGGACATAAGCGGACGTGGGGACTAGATGAGCGGGACATGGGTGAATCGCGGTTACCGAGTGGATGGGACATGAGCGAGCGGCACATTGTATATATATATATGAGCGAAATAGAGTGGAGGAGAGGTGTTGTGTCTAATTTGTGCGTTACTAAATGGATAGATTTTCCTGGATGTAGTGCTCGAGTGATGCAGGTGTGTTATCGGAAGAATATATGTATATTACGGAAGTGATTGGAGGAAGATATTGTAATTATATAAACTAAATTGTAAAGAACTCATAACACTGGAATCTTTGACCTGGGGGGATTTACAACAAGACTTCAATGACACCCAGAATCGAGACATTATAAGAAAAAAACCCTACTGTCACTAGGAATCTCCGTGACCTAATAGACCCCCGCCTATGTCCCATTAATTTTCCCAATATATGCCTCATTAGTGGCTTTACCCCATGTGTTACTACTACTTAATCAAAATTGATTCAGTACAGTAGTTAAGCAGGTCGACAAGGCTTCCGCGTACTTAACTACATTGAACTACCTTGAGACCACTTTTGGCGCATAACAAGGCTTAGATAATCAATTCTTCTCTCGCTCTAAACCAGTGAAATGAAATTCCCTAAACTCAATTTATATAAGTGTGGAAAAGTGTGGAAGAATTTAGTTCAAAGAAATGGATGATATTTCTTTGTATACTACGAAAGCGTGAAATATTAGAACTACAAAGCTGTAAACGAAAGCAGTAATCTATTCTAAAAAAAGGCAGTAAAGACTTGACCAACCCTACTCCCTTGGCCATTCCTGTGGAGAACTCCCTTACAGGGTTGGAGCTCTCTGAAACAGGAAGACGATGAATGCTAATAGTATGCAAGAATCACCAAAAATTATCTATATCATACATAAAGATATCTGGCCCTATTTATAGCAGGTGAAAAGGGGGCGGTTGCAAGCAGTTGCTGGGCGGTTCCAACCGCTAGGCAGTTAGGCGGTTGCTGGTAGTTATTCTATTGAAGCAGTTGCTGGCCATAACTCCCAGGGTGCCCGCTTCGCTTGCGTAGAATTTCAAGGGCTCAGATCTTCCTCGCTTGCTGGAGAGCTCGAGGGCATCAGCGCATCTAGGCTCGCTTGTGCTGGCTGGAATTGGAATGGTTGTACCGCTGCAGTTGGAACACTTAGTTGAACTCTGGAGATAATCTGCAGCGGTGGGTGTCTGGCTGTCGCTTGCAAGCGGGAGAGGCTGTCGCTTCGCGAGCGGTGGAGACTATCGCTTGCCTCTCATGCCTTGTCTTTTCAGAGGCTGTTCTAGGCGCTTGCGAGCGGGGGCGGCTGTCGCTTGTGGCGTCTGCGTTTGTTTTTCTGATACCAGACTACCGCTTAAGAAGGGCAAAAACCGTTGATAATCTCAACAATGAATTCTGGATCATGCCAAGCGATATAGATCAATAATGTATGCCATTTACAAGTTATTTTGATGGTTTTTATACAGAAATTCGAGTAATACACATTTTTGTCAAGCTAAGAATATGCTCATATTTGGAGTAATCAAACCTCCTCACACTAAACCTTTGTTCGTCCTCGAACAAACTGCTTTAAAAGATCAAAAAATTATTCTGTTCACTGCAATCGAAAAGTGCTAACAACCAGTGCCATGATTGAGACTAAAGTGAATCTCAAATAGGAACAAATGAGCCATAAGTATTCAGCTTGTCACTTGATTTAACAAGATTGGAGTTATCCAGGTATTGTCAACTTTGTTTGCTTAGCAGGGATTATTTTTTTGATTAAGGAAACCTTCAGCCGAAGGGCACAGAGAATCATTTTTTTTTTTTTGGATCGTGAGTTTCAAACAAACATTGTGTCTGCTCAAGATCTTATTTGATTTTCATGTGCCTAGGCCTTTTCAGTTCCTTTGTAATGATAGGTCCTCCCTGCTTCGCTCGCATTGTATCTTAAACCATATTTAAGGACTTCTCCTTTCAAGTTATGCCTAATGAACGCAGTCGAAAAACATAGGTCCGCATGCCCTACTGAGTATGGAACAATTTGAAACGAAGGGGGCACTAATCTTCACAAGTCTCATTTGCTATTACTTAGTTTAACGCTAATGTTCAAGTTATTGTGAAGTTCGAAGGACAATTACTTAGTTTGATGTGCTTAAGTCATCTAACACTACTCTAAAACATATCACAAAGTTAACTAAGCAGGATATCACAGGTATTTCACATAAGAACACATACTTCAGGTTATGTTAGGCATACAATAGAGAAAAATTGTCGCTTGTTACCAAAAATTGTTGTTTCTTTGATTGATGCTATGTACAGCCCTTGCCATTCTCAAATTTTGTACATGGGGGAGGACCTTTCTTTACTTCTTCTTTTCGCTTGTCGGTCCTCGCCCCTGAGGAAGGTTGCGTGATATCTGCCGCACTAGATCTTCTAGTGTTTGGACACTCCTGGCTATGTCAAGCTGTTGCTCCATGAGAATGGCGTTTTGTTGGGTGAGGGCTGCGAGTGCTTTCATAATCTCGAGCAGCGTCGTCCCCATGCTTGCAGCTTGAGTCTCGAGCGCTTCTACGCGCTTTTTCAGTGTGGCAATCCTTTTCTTTCCAGTGGACAGTTCATCACCCAGACTCCTTGCATAAGTATCGATTAATGTCTGAGTCATCATGTATTGGGTGAGAATGGCTGAGTCGAGTTCCTCCAGTCTTATTTCAATATTTTCCAATGATGAGCAGGGAGCTGATGGTCCAGCCTCCGCCGCTGCTGGTGACTGTCGCTTGGACTCAGCCGAACTGATTTCCACTGGCTCTTCCCCTTTTTGAGAATTGGGTGCTGGTTCAGGGAAGACATCCTTGAGGAATACTAGCTGCCTCGCTGCCTCGTACTCCAGCTGTTATGCTTTCTTCCATTGTAAGTATCTCCTGAATCGCAGCTGGAGTTGGTTCAGCGGTTTCCAGTATTTGAGCAGCTTGACCAGCACCTTCATTTTCCTTTTTCTCCGTTGCTCGAACTGCTGCATTTGTTCGATCTTTTGTACTTTGGCAAGCAGCTGAGCTTTCTTCTCTTGAAACTTCCTATTCTGTTCCTCCTACTCCTCATCTATAAGTGTCTTGTCTGATTTGGTTGAGGTAGGAGTCGGAATCTCTGCAGGTGTCCCGATCATGGTAGGTGTTCCTGGGCTGCTTGGGGATACCTGCAAGATAGGAAGATTTAAAATGACTGCCTCCACCTCCTCGGCTTCATCGGCAGGTTCAGCGGTTGTGGCAGTGGGGACCTCGGCGGGATATTCTTTGTATGATTCCACGGTGACCTCGATCCCGCCGATAGTTTCTTCAGTTAGCACGGTCTCCCGCTCCTCCTCTGCTTCAGTAGCAGTAGGCTCTACCGCTCCCGACTAGTTAACGGGTGCGGCTTCCTCGCCTGTTCCAACAGCAGTTGGCTCACCTGTCCCCTGCTGGTCGAAGGGAACAGGTTCATCGCCAAGCGGACTCGGCATTCTTGGTGACACCTCCACCGTCGCTGGCCTCGCTGGCGAAAGTCTTTTGGGTTGGGCGGTGGGTTCTCTGATGACGATCCCCTTCCGTAGTCAGAAGAGGGGGATTGTGTCTTCGCTCGTCTCCACATCCACCGCTTTCCCTTTTCCTTTCTCCTACCTTGTCGCTCGCTGAGGGGGTGTTGGGTTTTTTCGAAGAGCTTCCTTAACCCTCGGCTTCTTGACAGGCGGTGGAGCAGGGTCTTCTTTCTTCTTCGACCTCTTCTCACCAGTGGCAGCTTTCGGCGCTTTTCCTCCCTTATCGCTCTTGACCGCGTCTGCCCCAAATAAATCCTCCTATATCTCCCGAGCGAAGCGGAGGGCTTCCTCTTCCTCATCGCTGGGAGCTTCATTGAAGACTGTCCTCTTGGAATCGGGCTCGGTCTGAAGTGTCACATCCTCTCTGATGATTTTCCCCTCCACAAATTTCATCTTTCTTTTTGGTGGAGGGGCGCTGCCGCTTGTGCTTTTCTCTTTTTCTGTTTGGGGATGAGAGTGAACCCTTTGGACTCCAGCCAGCTTTTGTGGAAGGCCGCTGGAAGCAGCGGCTTCATCTGGAGTTCTGGGGCTGGAGTGGGCAAGTCGACACCCGCGCGGTGGCAAAGTTCTGTGATCAGGGTCCCATGACCAAGTGTTCTGTCTCCGTTTCTTCGATCCCAGATATCTAAGCCGATGATCGCGCCCAAATCCACATCAGTTGTCTCCTCCAGAATTGAGCGAAGGGCAAAGAGGTAGTTAGGACGAATGTCAGTGGTATGAGCGGTGATCATTATTATGCTCAGCGACCACTTCACCCATTCCTTTTTATCTTCGTCCACCGACCGGAACTTTAGGTTTCTCTTCTCGTATACAGGGGTGGTGGCGAAGGTCCTGTAAAGCGACTGCAACTCAAGCGAGCTGCAGACCTCCGTTGCCTGCAACTTATCCGTCATCTCCTG